AGAAATTCGAGAGGCATACCTAATGTGACTGGGTTCCATTATCTCAGCGAGTGCTTTGATATACTGTTTCTGCTTCACACCGTTAACAGTAGGAACAACAATGGCATACTCACGGTTGGAGCTCTGTTGATATGACGGCACTTTGGCATAGGTAGGGCCAGGTTGCTTAACTTCCCAGTTTACAGCCTTATTGGAGACTTCCATTTTTCCTGCTTGAGTGTTCTGGAGCAGTCCACACACCTCAGCATTCCTTACAGCACCTGGATCATCTTGAAATCCTTCCATTACCGAGCCTTGTACTTAAAGTGCCTGCCCTGACAGATTCTTTCCTGCAAACACTTTCCTATTAATGAGCAGGAGTGTTACGATCGACAGCCACTGGAGTTGACTTTCCTTAGTCGTTGGAAACCGCCGTCTGATAGTTTTACAATTTTCTTAAAATTATTCCTGGTTTTTATTCAACAAGGTCCCAACTGTTAATTGAAGTATCTATTAATATACTATTATACGAGTATACATTAGTAATATACAATTTTATGTGTATATATATTTATTTTTTTCTTTCGATATTGACTTGTTTTCTTTCAATATGCATGTAAGCCGTTTAAATATCGTCTTTCAAACAGCTGAAACAGATAGGCTAGTAAATAGAAGAGAGTAATTTATTTTATAGAGTAAGGAAATATCAAGAATTGATCAAGGCGGATATTGCACATCTCATGTCAACTTAACAGTTCGGCATAAGCATAACATGCAACTGAGTAACTTCATTTTAAAGTAATAAATATATTCGAGAGGGAAGAAACTATCGATTTAATACCTTTTATTTTGTTAATATATTTAGCAGCATTGAAATTTATTTGACTTCTGTAAATTTATTGATAGAGAAAGAGCTCTCCGTTATAAAGTACTAAACAATTACTAACAACAAGTACTAAAAATTACTCTATAGTGACCTGAAAATTTTCCTCTAATGGAGCCTATCACATAAGGCAGAAGAAACTGCGCAGACTTTCCAAATGTCCAATACGGATCCTAATGAAAAAAGTAGCCACTGTGAGCTGTCAACAGACCATCCCAACTTGTTTTTCCTCTTTCTCAGGCTCTATAAAATCTAATAGCTATTGTCTGCTTCCTAATACAAAATGGCACCGAGACGAATTAAGCCCATATTTTTAAAAATGATACTTCTAGTTTAATTAATATTCAGTGAGAAAAATAGAGTTTAATCCTTTTAAAACTTTTTAATTTTATTTAATTTCATTTGACAACATTTCGGGTTCTACAAGTTCATTTTCAAGTATATTCGCTATAAAACAATATTTTTTTTATATAAACTTCGTCTGACTGAAATTCTAATAATTAAAACGTTATGATTATAATGTAAGAGGAGAATTAATAACACTAAGTTTTGAGTTTCTAAACTGGGACTTCTTATGGTGTGTACTTTAATGCCAGACATTAAGTACTTGACATTTGGTTTTCAGCAGCTGGATATTTAGTAATTCTCGTGAATTTTTATGTTAAACATTTGCAGTTTTCCGCTATGATGCAAGCATTCACCGGTTTTGTCTACGAACTAATCTAGATGAAGCAAAATACAGTTATTGTCTGTGGGAAAAATAGTTCCTCTAAAGTCGACTCGTAGTCTAACGGGTGTATAGTTAAAATTTTAGAATCTTTTTTTGATATGGATTTTGTATTATGGGGGGAGGAGGGTCCAAATTCAATTTCATGAAATTAGGTAGGAAGGGAAGAGATGGTTTGTTTTGGAATTTTTTATGGCGGGGCTTATAGAAATCAAGGTTTCGCAATAGTCATAACAAAAATTTTGTTATTCGGCTATTTGTTTCGGTACCATACAATTAAACCGACCACCACCGATCCATTAAAATTTGTGGTGTGTTTAATTTTCATTTATGATGAAGCGAGGAGATTTTGGAGTCGATTAATTAAACAAAAAGAGTTGTAGTCTCTCCACTTCTCAGCTCAGCTGGCAAAATAACAAAAATAACATTGGACATTGAGTCACTTACATCCGTTTTAAATTAGACTTAATTAAACTTGATCTGAATATTGTGGTGATTAGGGATGAAATTTTTGGAGTTTTTTTTCTCCTGATTTCCGGTAAATCCGTTTGGCAAATCCTAAAAATGTGTACGACAACATTTGTTAGGATCGAGAAGTTGAATTCAATGACACCTTGAACGGGAAGATCGGACCGAGTTGAAAAATGGGTGTGTTTTACCCGTTTTATGTGACAACATGTTACAGATGTTCGGTATTCCGGATTTTTCCTATTGAGTTGTGATCATTTTTTCCATCAGTTGAGTAGCACAACTTTTAAATGTGTGCTCGCGGTAGAGTAGGTTGGGATTAGAATCGAAGTAACTGCCTAACCGAAATCTCTAAACAAATTACTCAACAATTCATAACTTTGGTTCTACTCAATATTTTGTTTTCATTTAAATACTATATTTTAAATGAAGCAAACCTAAATGTAATGTCAAAATTTCAAAAGTCTACCATTAGCCATTGCCGAGCTTACCCCTGACAAAATATCGTTGGACATCCAGACAGACAAACAAATTTTTCAAAAGTGTATTTGATGCCTGCAATGTATGAAACGAAAAGATATCATAAAACGGGTTAATTCTATTCAATGTTTAGACAAAATCTTTATTTTATTAATATAGATTTTTTTTTTCTAATTGAACAGAAGAGCATTGAAGAGCAGCAATTAACAAGGCTAAATGTGTTCAATCTCTTTATTTTAGAATACTTTTCGAAGCTACTAATAGCATGTTCCCGATTCGTAGTTTTATTTCTTTGTCCATTTTGTAATCGTTGGTTAAAATTGTACAAGATCTTCGGATGCCTCCACGCAATAGACATCCACTAACTGAGCCTTTTCTGAAAGATATATACTTCGTTTTTAGCTTTAGCTTATTTTTTAACTTTCGTTTATAATGAGTCCTACCTTTCTAGCTGCCTCTTCACATTCCGTAAATTCCTTTAAGAGGGAATCTTGACTCTTGCCGGTGATGACCATATCTTCGGCATTAACTAGGCATTGAGTCATATTATTATATATCAATGGGGATAAAGGATACCCCTGTTTGACTTCTTTTTGAATGACAAAGTTTCTGAAAACTTCTCCTTGAACCTGTACTAAACCTATACTGCTTTGACTATACCTTTATTGTATTAAGTATTTCAATATTTTCAATCAGAGTTTTAGATATTTAATATGGCTTTTTCAAAGAGAGACATGTGTTAAGTACATCAGTTCTGAGGAAATATTTACAAGGCTAAGCACATTATTGAATGAAGCTCTTCTTTAATCCTCTAGATGATCCAACTATCCCTAAATAAGTTTTCCCAAGGCTGGAGAGGATTAAAAAAATCGTTGTATTACATCACTTCACATATGATTTTTAATATATTAAGGCCTTTCGTTTCAATATCTATGTATTTTTTATGATTAACAGCAGTTTGATAGAGTGGAAGCAGACCCTCTTCAACTTAAGTGAGGTCGATAGTTGATGAGTACAGTTGATTGATCGATTGTTAAACGATATGTACATTGAATGGGATGAAGGTTTTCGCCACTCAATTTCCAACCCCCACCTCCCTTATTCCCAGTTCACAATTGAAAGCCAACCCCACCACAGCTCCTCCTTCACGATTCACTTCATTCAGCACTTTAAGGCAACGGGTTTACTGGTGTAAGGTTTACAGTTCCAATCAATAACGAATACACGTAATACGAGTACATGACATCCTTGAGAGTATGTTTCTTAATACTGGTGTGTTAGTTAATCTGTAATATACTCTGGGTGATGTGTTAGAGATTCCGCTAAGGAATTCAGGGGATATATTTTCATATTACATAATTAGAACACCATTTGAAGATTTCAAAATTTTTACTTTTTTTACTTATAAGGAAATACACACCCATATAAATATATTCAACTTATTCCTATTGATTTTCAAATTTTCGTAACCTAAATAATAATTAATTCTAGTGCTTTTTTGGGGGGGTTCCTCCCCTTCCTCGCCTTTAAGGTTTTCCCAAGCCAGGAGGTGTGGGTGGAGATTTAAAAGACTCCCCCTGCACCGGGACGCGAACTCCTGACTATTTTATATCCATTGTCTCATAGATCAGGATGCTGACTGTGGTGATGTACACACAAGTTAGCCCGTTCGGCCACCCCGCCCACTGATTCTAGTGATAGTTACTAATTACTAATTAGTTACTAGTTACTAATTTTGTGCTTTATAAATCACGTAAAAACAAACGAATTTCGGAGCCGCAGCTATCTGACGAAGGCAGCAGGTTCTCCCTCCTCCTCTCCCCCCCCCCACCTGTGATCTAATGTAACATAATAATTACCTGCCGTAGCCGAAATCGAACACGAGATCTGGTGCGTCGGAGCACAGTTCCTTACTCACTCAGCTACCCTCCTCCCTCTATACAACATATCAAAGTTTCAGTCACTTCTTTCATAAGACCTCTGACGACCCCAACTTCCTTCATCTTTCTTTCTAGACCTTTTTTGTCCTATTGATAATGAAACATTAATTTTTGCTACCACTCCTTTCCCATTCTTTGTCAATGGCAATACAATTTTGACCTATTTGTTTCTTGGTACTACAGGATTATTTTTTCTTGCTGTGCGTTCTGCCTAACCGTTTTTTTTTTTTTTTTGTTGTTTTTTTTACGATAGCTTCTCCATAAGTCCATCTCTAATGATCGTAACTTTTTAACAAGTAATACGATTACAAACAGGCGTTGAATAGCATTTTTTTTATGCAATATGAATTATGGAATTTATTTAACCTCAAAATAAGAAATGTGGGTAACTACAATCGTTTTTATATTCTGTATTTTTAATGACCATGTAAAATTGTGTTGATGAAGAGGTTGGTAGATCAGACATATATTACTGACTTTTTCTCAGGTGATGAGTCGTTGGACGCAAAACCCTCAGACTTTATCACGTCTTTCTTCCTCCTTCATACGCCTTAATAAGGCCCTTTTTCGCGCTCTTTCCACTTAACGTCAATTCCAACACGGTAGCCTCGTCGACCCAGTTTTCTTTGACCTTGAATGAAATTTTAGCTGTTTGTTCCGCTCCATAATTCTTAGTGCCTTGGGCAATATAAAATAAATTTATATTTACTCCCTTCATAAATAGCGTTGTGATAAAAACGGTTTATTTATTGGAATTCGTTGCTGTATTAGATAAAAAATACAACTAGCAAATTTGATGTAGATAGGTATGATTGTGTTTACAAGTTTTTATTTTATTTTATTTCTTTATTTTTTTTTTATTTACTTTCTTCATCAGTATTATTTATTTACTTTTTATATTTATATTTATTTCTCTATTATTTTAATATATTGTATGACTGAGAACTTTTAGCTCTAATACTTATAGCCCTCTAGCAGTGACTGATTGTATTATTATTCAATAAATAGATTATAAAAAATAAAAAAAAGTCAATTTGAATAATATTATATGTACAATATGAGGGACAACATATTAACCACCAATTGGTAGTACTCGAAACGAAGTATTAATAAGTGGGTTTTTGCGATTTTCACGTTTTCTATGGTTAAAGCATTGATGTACTTTTTCTTTCACGTCAAGAGAAGCTGTACAAAATAGATCTTATTGGTTGTTGTTCAGGCTTATATATAGCAATGCCACATTTCGTTTTTATCAATCAATATATCTTTTTTTTTATTCATTGATATTTACAACTGTATTATAAAAAAATACAACTAGTAAATGTGCACACAGTAATAATGCAATCACATGAAAACGCTTGTTGAGAAACTACCCATTGGTAGCACTCTAATAATATATTTACATAAGTAGATCACGAGACCATCTTCATTTCAGACGCTTCGGAGGGTTATCAGGGATCTAGGAGGAAGCAAGGTTTGAAACGAGAGGGTTCGGATGGTTCTGGAGTTTGTTATAGAAGGATAGGTATCTGTATTGGACCAAATCGGAAACATATGCAACATTAATAATATATTTACATCAAAATTTACTAGATTAGATAGTGAGTGACATTAATACATATGAACATATTACCAAAAAGAGACGTAAAGTGTTAAGGATATAAATGGAAAATTCCACAATCTTTAACATACCTTGAACAGTTAACTGCCAACGTTTTGCCAATTCAGGCATCAGTTTAAGTCGCTTGTTGAGATATAGCTTGTAATAAATGTTTCTGCATAATGTGATGTTTTTTCTGTCTCTTGATGCCTGAATTGCCGAAACGTTGGCAGATTAACTGTACCTATGTATATTTGATAGATTCCATTTATATCGGTGCTATCAATCATGGGATTGTTCGATATGGATGCTTTAGGTCTATCTTCCAATAATGCTGCATCCATGTTGATGCATTTTACCTTTCTGGGGCAGATGATAAGAACAGATGATATGGTTGCAGACTCTGAGGCAGTGATGATCGGACTGTATGACGGATGGAGAAAAGAACTGGAGATGCCGTGCCCCCTGAACTGCAAGGAGCTGTGCTGGCCCGGGGGGCACCAGCCGGTCGCCGAGAGGGTCTTCAAGACGAGGACGGTCGGGGTCGAGCCAGTGGCCTTCCTCAGCGTCGCCTTCTTCTCTTGCGTCGGTGTCTTCCTTGCCTTCGGCTTCCTCATCATCAACCTCCACTACAGGAAGCACAAGTAAGCCTTAGTTTTATTAACTTACAGTGTTTGACCTTTCTTGCTAGATGAAATTATTGGTATGAGGTCACTGATTTAGGGTTCTTGCCAATGCTCTCTTGAAGCCGAGAAAAAAGTATATTTTATAAAATTTTAGCATTTTTTATAGTATTGTTTTCTTCTTTTCTCTGGATGGGTTTATAATATAGTATACATATTATACACGTTAAAAACTACATAATAATTTTATTTTTCGTTTGTAATGAACGACTCCCAAAATTTTGCTGTGTTTCGCAAAGCTATATTCATTTTTAACAATGCTATAAAGCCAAATGGATATCATAACAAAATAGTTCTATTAATAAAAAATATTTTTTGATTGCAATGAACATTCTAATTCAAGGGATTTTCGAGCTACGAAGAAGGAATATTTGTTTTTCCATAAAAAAATATTTAATGGAATTCGGATGTGTATAATATCTACAATACATTATTCTTATTTTTGGGATGAATAGGGGCATGTCAGATTTTGTCCATATAATCTAGATAATAATAATAATAACCTTTATTTGTATATACAACGCAAAAAATAATGGATAAAAAATAGATATATACAAAATCTTTTATATGTAAAAAATCAACTTAGTTGAGGTTTTGAGTTCGATTTCTTTCTTTTTTTTTTTTTTCCTCTAGCTTTCTTGCAACCAAACTAGATAATGAACCTGTCCCATCCGCTTCCACTCTTTCCTCTCCAATGTTGCTCTCTTCCATGCTGCTCTCCCGCAAGTCTTCTTTATCTCCTTGTCCCAGTCTGTCGGCGGGCGTCCTCTCTTCCTCACGTGCTCTCTTGGATACCAATCCATAAACTGTTTGGTCCATGTTGATTTATTCCTCTTGATTACATGTCCGGTCCAGGTCCACTTCCTGATGTGCACTTTTTTCACAATATCTGGAAGGTCAGTCTCAGCTCTGATCCATTTGTTTGCTTTTCTATCCCTTCGAGTTATCCCGAGGAGATATCGCTCCATTCCTCTGACGGATATATAATCTAGATATTCATTTGGTCAAAATTGAATGTTTTATCAAATATGTTTTGACCTTGTGACGTCAAGACAAGTATCATTGATATCGGTGACCCCACATATCATTGAACTTAAGTTTATTTACTTATATTTCATTTATTTCATTATTTTGTTTTAATTTATTTTCAAAATTCAATTAATACTATTGTGGTTTTACCTATTAATTTATTTTACTACACTGTTATATATATATAATTTTTCTCTACCACTTACGACATTTACTTTTTGCATATAAAGTAAAGTTATGTGTTTATCCTCACTTTGTATTGTTCTTGATGATCACGCTCAACCGCCAGATTTCCCTCATAATTAATTATTTAATTAACAGTACCTAGTTTATATAGGCTGTGTGCACAAACGAAACGGGAAAAAAATCATCAAAATCGGACGATTTGGTGATGAGCTAAAGCGTTCTAAGCACTTAGTACTTATTCTTCTTCAAAAACAATTTTTTTTTTTAACTTTACATTTACTTCAATAATGGTGATAATCATTTGATGAAAAACTTATGTATTAAGTATCATGTATTACTTAACAGAAAGTGATTTAAAAATTCTTATACTAGTCTATATTAACAAACACTTATTATATTGCATTTTCCGCCGTTGTCTAAGGTAAACGGTGTGATATAGATCATTGTGTAATTATCAGCGTTTATGTATTAGATTACTTTGTTAGATTTTATTTTATAGATTTCGGCTTATATATCTTTATTTTCTGTGATATTGCATTGGAATTACAGCACTGTCGTTCCTATGTTTGTACAGCTACCAAATAGTCCGTGTTATAGAGCCCTTATTATCGAATTATTAACACTTGCCTAAAATTTCTTGGATGACTCCATCTCATCGTAACGTACGACGATTCTCAGAAATGGGGCGTTTTCCCAATAAATTTATTCATTTAATGAGATACTGAAAACTCATAAATACCCATTTGTTTTTCATCTGGAGATAATATGATCAAAAAATCGAAAAAAAAAAAAAGATAATCTGCAAAAATATTGGGTCGTTTGACTTATATAACCTCGTTCTTTTGACATGTTGGGGATGGAGGTTACGCCAAACGGCCGAATATTTTTGTAGTCCACCTTTTTTCTCGATTTTGTGATCAAATTATCATACGATTGAAGTGGAAAGCAAGCGGATTTTCATGAGTTTTTATTACTTAATTAAATAGACAACGTTTGTCCATCTCCAGATTGAAAACGTTCCAATTCCGAGAATTTTCGTAGATAAGTTGTAGGATAGGATGAGATGAAGCTATGCACAAAGCTTCAGGCGGATGTTAATAATTTGATAAAAAGGGGTCTGTACCGCGGACTATAACTTATTTATGAAAACAAAAATAAAAAGTTTCAACTAAATATTTTTACTCTTGAGGCGCAGGGTGAAAAAGTAAGTAAACGGTATTTCTTCACCTGAGTGGTAACAGTTCAAAAACTCTACATATTGATTGGCTCATCATTTCCACTCTTCTTCAACGCAAGATACCTTTACAAATAGGGTGCGGAAAACTTTGAACTTTATGGGGTTTTCTTTGTATAACCAGGTCTAGTCCGACGAATAAAATATGAAAATTCATGCTCGTGCTCCATCCATTCTCTATCTCGCCACCTCCCTTAATATTTTTCATGGAATTACTTTATCATACAAGACTTATTCAAATATTCTAATATTATACGACCATAGTTTTAGCTAATCTACTCATTTCAAAGGTTAAAGCTTCTATATTTAGCAAAAAGATCAAGTAGTAAAGGTAGAAAATTTCCCTTTTTGTCAGAGAGGGAAGGTTAAGGAACTATCTCCATCTTTATAAAAAAATTAAATTAAGTTGCCATTTTTTTTTTGTTCCTTCTGTTTGAAATTTAATTGCATTTTGAGATAATTGAATATTTAGTATGAGTCTGAATCCAAAGATATATCTGATTATAGTACTGATAAGAAACTGCCAGAGAAGACGATTTAATTTCAACCACAGCCTGGCTGGCTATTGCTATTATACTTCTAAATTTATTCTTACTCTTGAAATTTAGCCTGACTCTGAAAGAGATTTTAGCCTTTTCTCTCTCCTCAGCACTGATCTTCGCGAAATTGATGATTTTGCATTTAAAATGCACTCGAAGCAAGTAGATTCAGTTTTATTCAAGCTGTTAAATTATTAATATTACTTCTTCGTCTCAAAGTCGCTTCGAGTTCTTAGGTCCATGAATAATGTTAAAATCAACATGATCTTTATTCATTATTTGTTATTTTTATTTCTTTTTTATGTTCTATTTGCCAAGATCAGTGCTTGCCACTTTATAGTAGTCCGCTGCGATTCCTATTAGACAATTATTCTGTTTCGCAGATGACCACTCCACCGAAAGTCTACCGAATATTCATCAGATTTTTAACAAATTGCTTATATTCCACAGAGATATGAAAATTTTTAAGAAAGCAATATCTTTCCTTCACAAATGCCCTTTTCAATTTAAACAGGTATAATGATTTTCTTGAAATGTGATTTACTTTGTTTAAGTCTTCTATCTTCCATTCATGTGTTGTAGCCAGTGTTGCTGCGCCCTCTGTGTCAAATCCTCGTACCTCAAACCGCTTACATCCTCGTACGCATGTTCATTGAAATTTTCCTACTATTGTAGGCTCAACGTTACTGTTTAATTTATAATGCATATCCCTTCCACGGCTGTCAGGGATATTGGCATAATAATTCTGCTTTTGCAGCTGGTACATTTATTTGAATGTTTTGGATTGTATAGATGGTATTTGATCATTATATAATTAAACTATTGGGTTTAACAGATTGCTATATCTTTGTATTACCATTTTATTGATTAAAGTCTGATTTATTACAATGAATGGTTAGTGGATTAATTAATTTATTATGACTGTTACAAACTATTTTAACTGTGGATTAGGTGGGTGGAAGCTGAAAATGGATTATTGTTTTGCTACATGCTGCTTTTGCTCCATTTTCTTCTCATCTTCCTCCCCTCTCCTTGCTAAGCCTCTTGAGTCTCCATTCCATTTCTTCTTCTTGTGTAATATGGAGAAATATGCTCCTTCTTCCTGGCCAGCTCTTTATCATGTCACAAGTAGACATGATTCTTACAGGAACTCCGCATGTATCTTCTGTCTTTGTTGCTTCTCTTGCCTGCCAACAGATGGCAACAGTGCTGTTCGCTTCATCAGTAAATTTAAGTTAAATTAAATAGGAATTTGCTGTGTTCCCAGGTAATGTGTTTTTTAAATACTTTTTTAAATTTATTTATAAATATAATAATCTGTCACGTGGACAATAATTATAGTGATATATGACCACATTCACACCATTTTTACAAAAAAACATAAAATCAACAAAAGTAAAATAATAATCAATAACAATATACAATAAAAAATAAAATAACCTAAAAATAAGTAAATTAAAAATATAAAAACTCAGTCATACATACCTATATACAATGTATACCATCAGGCAGGGAACCCCATTCAGGCTTGTTCCTAAAACTATAGAGGGAAAATCAGGACTTCAAGAGATCCCTGCGCTACTCTCTCGCACCGCGTCACTGTTGCTAAAGCGAGTGAAGATTGAGCGAGAGCGCATTGTGTGTTGGTTTTTTTTTTTTTTTTAAGTAAAATTAGATCAGAGCTTTGCTTAGTACTTCTATTCATATATTTTAAAGTTTTTTTACATTATTTTTTTTAAGTTTATAGGTCAAGAAGTAAAATGAGTTTAATTAAGGTACGAAATTAAATGTACAATACGAAAAGTGTATATATATTTAGAAGCTATTGGAAAACTTTATAGACAAATTATAATAGCAAAATAAACTTTTTAAAGGATAAAATATTCCTATCATTATTAAAAATAAAGGGAAAACATATTATTTTGACTTCATAGAAGTTCGAAACTAGATAACATATAATTGAAATGAATGAGTATTATTAGTAAGAAAATAATGGATATCCTTTCTTATATTTTATTTTATTCTCGATATACTATAAAAAAACGAAAATATTTGTTTATAATGACGGTGACAATTTAGTTTTTTGAAAATTAAAAAAATATATATAGATGTACAATCACAGTTTTATGAAGAAAATAATAATCATACTCTAATTAAAGAAGATATAATTGCAATTTATTTGTCTATAAAGCAACATAATTTTAGTATTAAATATTGATATAAATAATAACACAGTAAAAATAATTGTAAAACAAATCTGAACTTCATTCATAAGAATATAACTTTGCATACGTCAGGAAAATATTTTTATGAGGTACGAGGCTGGTCAATCCTCGTACCTTACGTCATAACCTCGTACAAATACGAGGATCCTCGTACGAACGGCAATACTGGTTGTAGCATAAATTCCATGTTACAAGTGTTTATTTGTTATAAGCCAAAGCGTTGGGATAGTTCTTTTTTCTTTTTCTTGTTAAGTAAAAAAGTTTTTTGCCGTCTCTCGGCTGTCTAATATTCGTACGTTGGGAGATGTCTAATCCCATATATAGTACATTTGTTTATCTCTGCGACTCTTGATGCAGTTTTGGAAACAATATGCTTATATCTTTTTACTTTAGACAACTTTATGTCCACTTATTTTATAATTAGAAATAGATAATCGAGATATGTGATTCAGTACCAGCCTTAGAGTAGGGCTAACGGGACAACCACTCCGGGGCGCCAGCAGATTTTCAGAAGAATAAAATAAAAATACAAAATGTATTATAATCATTAATTTTAGCCTATAAATAAAGCAACTGTATTACAGAAATGTTCAATGAAATACAATT